TTGATAGTATACCTCAAATATTGCTCCAAAACTTGAATCACCAATTTTTTTTGCCTATCAATTTAAGGATGAAAAGTCAATGAGAGTTTTATATCTACCTTTAGAATCTTAAATAGGTATCTCTAAAATTTTGATATGAATTGAGTCCTCCTATCCAATATAATATCCTTTGATAATCCATGATAGTTATAGATATTGTCAATGAAAAGCTTAGCTGCTTCTTCACTTCAAATAGATTTTGTATTTGATAAAAAATGTACCATATTAGTGAAGCAATCTATAATTATGAATATAGAATTATAAGAAGTTAAAATTAGAAGATCTATAATAAAATCTATAAAAATAGAAAATCATAGTTGTTTGAATATAGGCAATGGTTGAAAAAATCCATAGGATTGATGACAAGCTTCTCCTTTTGGAACATATAGGCATCCTTCAAAGTAGAATAAATTATTCTTGAACTCAAACTTTGAAATATTATGAGACTTAAAAGAAAGATTTTTAATATCATAAACAAGAATATCAGAGGATATACTCGATTGAATTTGTTTGACAAAGGTCAAATCAATAATCAATGTTGATTTTATTTTTCAAAGATGAAAATACTCTAACTTCAAGAAGATTATTCTTTATTGATCAAAAGATACATTTCTTTCTTTTGGTGCAAAATAAAAGCATCTAAAAAGAGCATCTAATAAAAAATGTTATTTTTCAAGTCAATATGTCATTTGAAATCAATCTTGATAATGATATGCTCCAACAAACTTGGCAATGATTCAAAATACGTATTGACATGAAATACTCAAGATTCTTGTGATTTGTATATATTATGACTGGACTTGATAATGGACTCATTTTGTGATAGGCTCTAGATTGGTCCAAATGGTGGTTGAGTTCTTTCTTGAAGATCAATGGAACAATCATAAAGACAATGCTCTAGAAGAATATCTACATTCTTTTTTTTAAAAACGTCCTAGAAATCTTGATATTGGTTAAGAATACCACTTGATATCTTCTCACTATCAGAAATTGGCATAGCATATATAGCAAAAGATGGCCCTTCATTTGTGGCATGCATGAAAGCTCTTGCATCTACCAATAAGGATTTGGATGTACTAGACTTATGGATTTTTACTTGTCTAGCAGGACTTTAGGCTAAACAATGGAAAAAATCAAGATTACAAGAAATTCAATCTATTAAAAGGTTATATCTTTTTAATCACAACAATCTCAAAATAATTGGATTAAAAGGAGATTTAATCACATTAAATATTATCAAACTATTGTGACCACTAGTTGCTACTATTATAGGAATAATTTGATGTATAACATCTTCAGAAGAGAATAAACATCCATCTATTACTTCTACATGTACATATTTAATTTTCTTAATTAAAAATATATCTTATTTTTTGATAAAGTCTTTATCTATAAAATAGGCTAAGGCTCTTGAATCCAACAAGATTAAGACTTTGTGATTTTTTTTTATCCTAAATAAGATGGAAGATTAGAGGAGAGAATATGCCTTTTCTTAGATGTTGCACATGATTCTAACCGCACAGTCCCTATTGTAGTTGGAACAACTCATTTTTTAACACATTGTCTTTTTTGGCAATTGTGCTTTTCAATTTGTAATTGTCTTGTTTTTTTGGATAATATTGAGCAGTATAGTTATCTTCTCTACAATATAAGCATAAGCCCTCTTAACATTGTCAAGCCTTTTCTTGCTTTGTGAGGGATTTAAACATATTGTATCAATTTGCATTGGTTCTGGTCATGATAAATAAATTTCTAAAAACTTAAGAGCTGCCATCACTATTTGATTTGTTCCTTTTTAGCCATATCTTTGTTCTTGATATCTTTCAAATAATCGATTATTATATACAATAGCTTGAGCAATAAATTGTTTTAAAGATTTTGTCTTTAGAATTTTTAGTAACAAATTTTTGACATTATCCTTCAACCCATATTGAAATTGATTGATAAGAAATTTGTCATTCTAGTCCATGTCACAAATAAGGTTTTGGAATTCAATAGCATATATAATAGCTGATTGTGATTCTTATCATAAAAATAAGAGCTTAGTTTCTACTACTCTTTCTCAATCATTTTCTCTGAATGTAGTCATAAATACTTTTAGGAATGAATTCAAATCATAAAAGAGTCACAAATCATTTTCCATTAGAGGTACAAACTAAGAAAGAACACTTCTTGATAGAAATGTGCATATGAATTTGACTTGAGTAAATCCATTAAGGTATTGGAAAGGATGCAATCTTAGATAGAACTTGAGTTGTTGCAAAAATCTTCAAAATTTTGATCTTGTTCCATCAAAATTCTCAAGCATATTAATCCTTATTCCCATCATACTTGTAGAAGCAAAAGTCCTTAGATTTGGTTGTGAGGTTAATCTACTTGCTTCCTTCAATTACACAACTTCTTGTTGCAGAGTCTAAACTTCTTCCATAGGTGTAGGTATAGTACTTCTATGATTAATGTTAGAAATACGTGAGATTTTTACTATTAGAGTATTGACAAGCTCATGAAGATTTGCAATAGTTGTAAATCTATTCTCACTTCCGTTGAGAGTAGCATCCATAATTTTTCCTTCTATAGGTAATTCAAATAAATTCAAAAATTTAAATTAGAAGAAGATAATCCACAACCTCTAATATAAATTTTGACAAAGAGGGATAATTTACTCTCTTTTAGGAAAAGATTAGTGTTAGAAAATAAGATTCTTTATTTAAAGGTAGATAGTCCACAACCTTCAAAATACAACAATAGAAGTGGAGTAATCCACTTACTTCTAAAATAAGATAAAAATAATATGTTAATATTCTTGACAAACTGTCAAAGACATGGAACTCAAAGAAAGAAAATCCTCAATATATTCTTGTATCACTGAAAGGAATTAAAAAGTTACTCAAAGATGATATAATATTAAATTAAAATAGATATTGCCAAAAAAAAAAGACTAAAAAGTCTTGAAACAAGACTAAGGACTAGAAAGGCATTGACAAGAGTGAAGAAGGCTTCACTCTTACCTCCATGTATATTCTCTAACTAAGAGCTACATGGAGATATTCTATAAGACCTCCAACATGTGTTGACTTTGCTAGCCACATGTCTTAACTTGGAAGGTAAGTTATCTATGTATGCACCACATAGTTAGCTTATTTCACAAGCTATCAACACATGATTAACTTGTTGATCAAGTTTCTTGTCTACAAATACATCTAAAGTCAAAATCACATCTATAAAGCTTCTAGGAAGCTACTTTAAAAGACTTTATAAAATTAATCTATATTTATCTACTTCTACCTAATCATATAAGTAACTATTGGAATAAATATATATGTTCAAGACAAAAAAATTGTACCTTGTTTGCCTATTTTACTACCAAATTTAATATTTTGATTTTTAAAGAGTAAGGTTTTGTCAAAAAATTCTTTACAAATTTTCCATCAATATTCAAAGATTATAGAGTTTTATTATTAAGAAGATTTTAGTAATGATTTTTGATGGCTTATGAATCTTATTTATAACGTCTTATATATATATTTTTAAATTTTTATTTGCATTTGTGTATCAATTGCAAAGATTTGACATTGAAGGCAATCAATACTTATACTTCTACTCTACTTGACTTTTATTTTAATTTCTTGTTTGTACTTATATGACATTGCAATATTTCATCTATACACTTATAAAATTTATGCACTCATCAAGGACTTCATAATAAATATAGATGTATTATAGTTCCTCTTATTTAATCGATTTATGCAATGGTTAGTTGAAGATGATATCATTGCCAAGACAATAAACCACAAGCAATAAGAACAACAAGACATCCTAAGTCACAAGAAGATAACTCAACCTATATCAAACTAGAAATCTAATTATAAGAAGCATGATGTTGCTTTGATAATATTTTGTAACTTTAATGAATAGACTTAAGCAAGGTGTGTATTTAGAGGAACTAAGCAATTAATTATATTTTGCAATAATTCTCAATTTATATTGCTTTGCTTACAATTTTATTCAACAAATTTCAACGTAAATATTTTGACATATTTTTGAAAAATCATATTACAAATTATTTTAATAAAGTGATTAAAAATTATTAATTTTAAATAATTTTAAATAATAAATAAATAAATAAATAAATAAAATCCAAAGCTTAGATAATATTATTTTTTAATTTGAAAATTTTAATCTTTTATTGTAGCCAACTTATATAATATTAAAAACAAAGTTGTATAATATCAAAATATTAAAACATTAAAGATGTAATTAATTAAAGTTTATTTTTTATTTTAAAAATAAAAATCTAATATTATATATAATTATCAAAAAGATCCTTCCAATTTTTTAAAAATCTAAAAGTTTACAAAGATATGTTCTTGGAAAGTAGTATATTACTTTTCAATCAACCTTTCCACTTACAAAAACAATTACAAATGCAACACTCAAAAAATGCTAAAATACATAACATTTATGTATTCTTTGTAATGATTTTTTAAATATAAATATTTATATTTATATGGATGTTAAGTTTTTTTTTCTTGCAACACTACTTAAAATTAAAAAAAATAAAAAATACTCCATAATTTTTTTGTTTTATTTATTGCTTGTCTTTCAAAATATCATCCATTTTTTTGAACTTCAATAAATAAATGTCTTTATTTATTTATTTATTTTTATTATTTGGTACGTTTTGTACATATGAGTGCAAATGACATGAACACAAAGCATTGTAGATGGACTACAAATGAGCCAATCAACCCTTTTGAATAGGACATTTGGATGCCCATCACCTCCACAAATGGGCAAAAGCTCAAAGAGCACCACCAATGATGTGACTTGATTTTTCTTCATGTCAAAGTTGAAGTATCCACATCCCTGTTGATACCATTTCACTTTCTTCTTCTCCCCTCCCTTAAAATAACAAAGCAAATCAATCAACCAAACAAACAAACAAAGACAAATGTAGACCATTCAGCAGCAGCACCAAGTCACAGAGGCTCGGCTTGTCAGATCACAAGACTCACTCACACAAGGAAGGAAGAATGGCTCTTGTTCTCCATCTGTCCAGGTTTCCAAAAACCAAGCCGTCCCATGAAGAGATGGGCTTGGCCATAATGATGCATAACCAGAAGTGATAAAAGCACAGGAGCTCTGCAGATTGAAGGCCATGTTAACAAATTGGTGCTGGAACGCATGCCAGTGCCTCTCTTTCGCACATCACTCTGGTAAGCTTGCTTCACTGTATGTGTAGTTCCTCTTCCTGTTGGTGTAGTAGCTCTTGAATTTCTCTGTTGCTGAATGGTTTTCAGTTTGTGGGTCAAGGTGTGCATCAGCAAAGGCGCAAGGACCCTCTGCTTGTGACCCAGTAGTGGTCTTTCAGGTGTGTGATAACATTGGAGCTAAGTCATGTCGTTGGTCTCTCTCTCTCCTTTGCAATCGTCATCAGGATTAGGGTTTAGGTTTAGGATTTTATTGCAATGTAACGTGAAGTAATGTGCGTGCGAAGCTTATGTAAAAGAGATATTTCCTTGTGCTTTGTTGACAAGGTGAATTTTATCAACTGTAGGGGAAAGCCGGCGTCGTGGGAGAGGCATTGTTTATTTGATGGAGTCCGGGAGGTGTGTGTGTTGAGGCATGGTTTGAATCCAGTCGGTCACTGCATGAAGTCCTGAACTTTAGCTGTATGTGCAATCTTCGAAGCATGAGACTGGATCCGAAAAATAATGCTATAGTAACTGGTTTAATTAGGAATTGGTATGGTTGGAAATACTGGAAACTAGCGCTCGGATTTCGTGAAACGGAATGGATAAAAGCTTAAAGCCGTTCTTGCAATAGAGCTCCGGCTACACTTTGCTGATCAGTCCATGCCTCCAATTATCTTGTTTCATTTGTCTTTGTGCTAATTGGGCTCACAGTGGCAAGTTGTCATACGAACGAAGAGAAGGACTTGATTCATCACCCATGCGCATTCAGAACTTTCTCCATCAAAATGGCTTTTGCAGAGACCTTCTGTGGAAAGACGACTCAAGCATCGAGTCCGAGGAACCATTCCTTGGAACCAGTGTAAACTTGAAACACAGATAAAGGTACGAATGTCGATTCTTCGCAGTAGCCATTATCTTTTTTGTTTCTCTTTAAAAAGCCTACTTGTACAATTTCATGATTTTGCTGTGAATATCATGAACGTTCCGAGATGATTTTTTTCTAAGAATAGATGCATGGATGATATCTCCTCAAAGCTCTATAGTCTTGCACCTGAAACACCCTCACCCACTGATTACAAATTCAGCCGTCTGTCAGAACTTCAATAATCACCAAAGACCTTACAATCGAAGCAATCACTCGTACGCTGATCTGTAGCAGAGCTTTTTCCTTCTGCACACACAACACCAATTCTACAGAAGTGCCCTTCTCAACGAAAAAGTATTCCTTTGCGGAAGGACCTAGTTGTACAATGGCGAAAGTTGCTAAAGAGGCGAAGTCATCGAGGTTTTTGTCGTTTCCTTTAACTGAAGGGGGCTTTTGCTTCGAGATGAGTGTGTTCACCCTGACGTGGACAAGGTGTCCTGGCCACACTAGAGAATGTATACCGCGTAGAGTAGCTTTGGAGATTGAGAAGACCAAACCGACCGTTCATCGCTTGTGGACTTTCTGTCTGGATCAGAATAGCACTTTTGTGTATTGTGATCTACCAGCGCCATGAAGCATTCGATTTTGTGAGATTGAAATGGGGAAAGGATCAGAATACTATCAGAATACTATCTGACACGACCACATGAATAAATTGTGCTTTTCTCTAACCAACGTACATACACCCCAATTCAGCTTGCTATTAATCTAACCTGTGTCTTGTGTCAGCATATTCACTCGCAAAAAAATGCACCGAACTTCAAAATGATTCAGAAAAACTTTTGCTTGAAGAGATTCTCACTCACGTTTCAAAATTCTGGAATATTGGTGAAAGAACGAAACGTCATTGATCAATGTCCGAAATGTTTGTGAAAGTACAAACAGAATATGAGAAGAACGTCCTTGTAAATAAAAGCAAAAAGCACAGAAATCCTTGAAATCTTGGAGTCACCGGAACATACAATAAAAGATATCCCTTCACTGTGGGGGTGGGTCTCACGACATCGAAAACACTCCACCCCCGATTATTTTTTTTAAGAACCCAAAAAAAGAAAAGAAAATCAAACAAACAAACAAACGAACAAAAAAACTCTGAAACACAGAAGCAAGAAAGGGGGACACTGGAGGCATCTTCTTCTTCGTCGTCGTATTCTGCACATGTTTGCACATACGAGATATGCTACCAAAGAAAGAGAATCTGCTCGTGTTTGTCTCTTCCTTCCTTCCTTTCCTTACATGCTTGCATTGGATTCTTTTGTCTGTGTTGAGAATGTTTAGAAAGACATAAGAGTAATATTAAGTCATACACACACACAAGAGTAGTAGTAAGTCATACATACAAGAGGGTTTCTAAGGAGAGAGAGCTTTACAAACACAAAATCTATTCATTTGGTTGTGTCTCGTATATAAGAAGAGAAAAGAGGAGAGGATAAACAATACTTCTCCACTAGACTCTAAATATTGTAGCTATGGTAATTACTATAGTCTACAGTAAATATTATGGAGAGCGCCGGCTATATTTAATGATCTCAACACTCCTCCTCGCTCATCATAATATTTGCATAATATAAAATTTGTATATAATTATAATCTATACTTTTCTGTGATCTTGCAAGATCAACAATTGTTGCCTCATTAAAACCTTATCTAAGAAAACCTTATTGTATTTAAGGACAAAATCATAGATGAATGAAAAAGAGTACAACATCATTTTCTTTAATTATTTAAAGAGCTCATTAACTTTCTTATTCAAGAAAAGGAAGTCGCCGCATACCAATGCCATAAATAAGTCGACGATGGTTGCTTAATGGGAGAGCTTTGATGAAGAGATCAGCAAGGTTATTTGTAGATTCAATTTTCTTAATTATAAGTGCTTGATTAGTAATCAAGTCATGAGTATAACTAAAATACTTTGGATCAATATGCTTTGTCATGTTGCTTTTAATGAAACCAACTTGCATTTGTGCAATACAAGCACTATTATCTTCATGTAAGACAGTTGGAGAATCATCATATGAAAATCCACAGGTTGTTTGAATGAATTTATCAATTGATCACAACCAAATACATTCTTGAGATGCTTCATGTAAGGCAATAATTTCTGCATGGTTGGATGAAGTTGCAGTTATTGTTTGTTTCACTGATTTCTATGATATTGCAGCTCCATGTCTTAAAAATACATATTCTATTTGAGATTTAGCTATTGCAATATCAGATTTATATCTTACATCGTAATATCCAACCAATTTTGGATCTGCGGATTGTGTGTAGTATAATTCCAAGTCTTTAGTTCTTTTTAAATAATGTAATAAATGTTTGATGCCATTCGAATGTCGTAGTGTTGGACGTGCACTATGTCTTGCAAGAATACTAACTGCAAATGTAATATGTGGTCTTGTAGATGTAGCTAAATACAAAAGTGCTCCAACCGCTTCGAGGTATGGATATTGGTCTCCCAATATTTCTTCTTCCTCTTCGCATGGACAGTATGGATCATGGCCATCACAACCACGTCCAACCATTGGTGTGGACAATGGATAAGCATCAATCATATTAAATCTTTGCAAGATTCGTCTAATATATGTTAATTGGTAGAAAAAAATACTACCATCTGTTAGATGCATAATCTGAAGACCAATGTAGAAAGTTATTTTTTCTAGTATTTTCATCTCAAATTTATGTATAAGTAGATTAGTAGCTGTAACACATGTAGATGTAGTGCCCACTAGGTTAAGATCATCAACATATATAGCGATGATCAAAAAACCAGTTTTATCTTGTTTGATAAATAAACAAGGGATTAATGGATCACTTATAAAATTATTTGTAATTAAATAATCTCGAAGACATTGATATTACATGTGTCCAAATTTTTTTAAATCTTACAAGGCCTTACATAATTTAATACCATGATATTGTTCTAGAGTAGGTCCATTTGGAGTTCCTGTTTCAAAGCCTGATGGAACTTTCATATAAATATTTGCATCAAGAGAACCATATAGATATGTAGTTACTACATCCATCAGATGCATCTCAAAGGTGGCATGAATTGTCATTCCAATAATATATCAAAATGTAATTGAATCCATGTCTGGAGAATATGTGGATTCATAATCAATGCCAAATTGTTGAATAAATCCTTAAGCAACAAGACGAGCTTTATAGCGGGTTATTTGGCCTTGAGCATCTTGCTTGCATATTAATACCATTTTATATCCCACGAGGTGAGATATAAGAGTGTCTACAATTGGACCAAAGACTTTCCTCTTACGCAAAGAGGCATACTCCTCCTCAATAGCAGTTTTTTATTTTGACCAATCTGAGTGATGCATCGTCTCTTCGATGGTTTGAGGTTCAGGATCATCTTCCTCATAAGAAAGAGCTTCTATAATCATACATGCAAATGATTCATCTACCATAAGAGATGGTCTGTCCCAAATATCATCTCTAGCACAATACAAAATAGATAATTCTTTACTCAACTTGTTCTTATTCCTTCCAATTTTAAGATTATTTTTCACAGGAATTGAAAGTACATTATGCATGGATATATCATCATGAATTGATAGTCCTATAGGATGAGTGGCAATTTCTTGAGAAATAATACCAGGATTTGTTAATTTTATAGCTTTCTTTTTACATGGTTGTTTATCTAGTCCACGAGTTCTTTTAGTTGTTGTTGTTATAACTTGAGGTATTGTAGTCAACGGCATTGCAATCTGAGCAAGTGCATTTTGAGCCTCATCAATAGGAATTCTTCTAATTCTAGGTGCATCATTGAAACCATCAGGTATTTTATTCATGATCTGTTTTAAATGTAAAATCTTAGCAACTTCAGTTTTTGCCAAAGATGTCATAGGATCGAGATTCATTGTAAACGTTTCTAGTACTTTAAATACAAGTACTTTATTTCTTTGTTGATTGGATATTCCTTCTTGAAGAGATGGAATTATATTTTCTTCAAAATGGTAATTTTTTAAACATGTACGTAATAATATGCCAATTGATAGATCAATAATATGAATAATGCTTGGTGAATCAAAACCAACATATATGCTTTCTTGTCAATGAGCTCCAATGGTATGCCTTTGAGGTTCTGGTACTGGAATCCAAGCATGACAACCAAATATTCGTAAATGAGATATATTTCGAACACAATCCGAAATGAACTCATGTGGTGAAACAAGTTCAAGAGAAGAAGGGCAGAGGCATATTAATACTGCAACATATAAAACTGCATGATCCTACATAGATGCAGGTAGATTTGCGTGAAGGAGGAGTGGCCGGGTAATGAGTTGTATACGCTTTATAAATGACTCTACAAGTCCATTTTGAACATGTTCATATGAAACTTAATATGTCAACTCGATTCCTATTACAGTATAATAGTCTTCAAAAGACTTTGATGCAAATTCTTTTGTATTATCCATACGCAATGTTTTTATAGGATAATCAAGAAAATGTGCCTGAAAGTAAATAAGCATAGATATAAGATTGGCAAACACCATGTTTTGAGTTGATAATAATGAAACATGTGATTGTTAACTTGATGCATCAACAAGGACCAAAAAATAACGAAATGGTCATGATATTGGATTAATAGGACTACAAATATCACCATGCAATCTTTCAAGCATTGGTGGTAATTCTTGTGGAAGTTTCCAAATTGAAGGCCGAGTAATCATTTTACCTTGCACGCATGCATAATATAATTCCATAGAGTCTACATCTACAGGCTTTAAATTAAATCCAATTATACATAGAATGATTGTTTTAAATAATGTGGATCCTGGATGTCCCAATCGTCCATACCAAAGAGAAATACGACTCTCTGAGATAGATGATGCAAAATTAAATATAATGGGAGGCCAAATCACAATTGGATATAAACCATTTTGTGTAGCAAAAGCTTTTTCAAGAACTTTATGGTTCTTTGCAAGAACCATAACCTCTTTTTTATTTAAAGTGGCGGTAGAGAGGTGATAACCATTAATACGCACATCTCGATAGCTGATCTGACTCTGAGGTATTGAAGGTGCAAACATCGCATGTTTACATTTTATGATGGAACTCACAAGTAATTTTACCATCACCGTGCCCTCTTGGAAACAAAACGCATTTGCTCCAGCCATGGTCATCATATTTTTACTTTACCAAGTTGAAGATTTTTTAATAAAAAATCATCTATCTTGCAAGATAGTATATGTTATTGCAAAATCAATGAGCGCATCATTTGATTCATCATTAGAGGTTTTGTCATTCATATATGCCTCTAAGTCATCAACACCAATTGAATCCATCGACGCATCCATGGTATGAACTTCACGAGCCTCAACTTATAGCTTCTTATTTTCTTCAAATATTTTAATAAAATATTTTGAAGTATGGCACACATGTAGTAAATGTCCAATTATTCCACACTTATGGCAAGAATGTATCTCTGATTTTTTTTTTTACTATAATTAATAGTAGAATATTTATTCTTTCCATATGGGTAGAAATGGTCTTGGCTATGACTACCTTGATACTTATGAGCATGTTTTCCATATTTATATAATTTCTTCATAGACTTTGAAATATTAAGTGCTTGAGATTCTGGAAGTGTTGTTCCAATAAGATAAGCTTCCACATTGCACAAGAGTAGCTCATTTTGCTTCTCCGCAAGAATTTG